GTTTCAGGTGGAGGTATGTATTATGGTTCGTAGAGGGTTTCGAGATGGGGAATGGATTACCGCTATGTGCAATTATTACTAGACTCGTAGAAGCGCGAGTGCACCCATAACCGAAGAGCAGAACGCGATCGGTGTGCTGGTAAAGGGTGCTTTTGCGTTTTCGAATCGTCGAAAGGCGCAGCAGGCATCTGGTGGGGGTCTATAAAATGATGAGCAGAGGCAGTTGGATTATTTTCATTAAACGGAGTGATTTTAATTGTAGTTGTCTTGTGGGTATCTGGGGGAAGTGCGATTCATTAAGTTTTAGGTTTTCCACGTATTTATGCCTTGTTTCAGGGATCAACTATATTTAATATATTTAATCACAAGGCTATAGATTAATTTTTCTAGTTTTAATTTTCTATTTTTTGATCTTTTGCTTTTAGCATTGCTATTTTTTCTATTTCTATTTTTATTATTATTATTATTATTATTATTATTATTATTATTATTATTATTCCTTCTATGAACTGCCTTTTTCTTAATTTTGTTTCCTTCTATTGTTTTCATAATTTTTCAAAAAAAACTTTCTTCTTTTATATTTTTATTATCAGTATATATGTGTGTGTGTGTGTGAGTGTGTGTGTGTGTGTGTGTGTGTGTGTGTGTGTGTGTGTGTGTCCCTCCCCGTTCCCTTCGTGATGAAGGTCCTGGTGGGGTAGGTCCAATGACGTCGGACCTACCCCAACAGGGGTAGGTCCTTTATCCGAACCTAGCCAGTTTAGTTGGCTTACACACACACAGAGTATGTTTTCTGTTTATTTTACTTGCTTATTCGTTTCTCTAATTTATTTGTCTGTGGGCGTGGGTGCGCGTATATGTGTGTGCGCCCTCACCCGAGGGATGCGATCTACGTTAGTTTATACATGTGGTATGTTTTTCCGGACAAGGTTGCTGTATAACTTCTGTTATTTCCATTGTTTTTCATTTTTTCAAAAAAAGGGGTTTGGGGAATTTTTATTTTTCAAAAATTGCAGGGCCATTTGGGGGTTACATCGAAAAGGTTGGTATGTCAAGGGGTTATTCAGGACGTTGTATGCAATACCGAGTAGTCTATGTTTTCTGAAACCATTGTTCTGAAGAGTTCGAATAGTTAATGTGATCTCCTTTGCAGCGTGCTGCGGTTCCGTTTTGATTGTCATAATTGTGATAATCTGCGGTATCAGGAGGTTTGGTGACTGTTGGAGCGGTCTGTTAGAGTTGGCCTGGATGAATCGTGTGATAGGGAAGCCAAACTCTTTTCTTTTATCGTACTTGTTTATGATGAATTGCCCAGTTTCATGATTTGTGATAGTTATTGTTGTGTTCAGAAAGTTAGCTTGAGTTCCAATGAGCTTGTCATTTATCAGTGTTTTTCCTGTGGTCTGCTCGTTTATGGTAATCAGGTGTAGAGGGTAGAGAAAATATTTGCTACGTGGGCTGGTAATGTTGGGGTTTAGGAAGTCGTGAATCCTTGGATTGTTTAAAATATGAAAGTCGTCAAAGTAACGAAACACATGTTGGAATAGATGTAACAGGCTTCTGTTGTTTTTGTGCGTCATTTTTTTCATAAAATTGTATTCATATTTGAAAAAATAAATGTTACACCATACCGGTGAGCAGCTCACGCCCATAGGGATGCCAAGTATCTGTCTCCAGATGCTTCCTCCAAGGGAAGTGTATGCATTATTGATCAATCAGTTGTTGATTTCCTGAACAATTTTCTCATTGATCGTTAGGAACCCGTTGGGTGTGCTGTCATACCAATCGCAGAGAGGTGTCCATTTTCCTTTGCTTTGGTACATTCTGCAGGCCAGCTGCACGTTCCTGCCGTAGATTTTCCTTGCTTGCTTAAAGGCCAGCTTGCAGAAGAACCGAATAGCGGCTGGAAGGCCATTTAGACTCTCATCAGTGGGGATCGTTTCGTAACATCGAGTTATATCAGCAGAAAAAACTGAAAAGACATGTTGGGGTAGATTATAGGTGTAATCTGGGGTAGAATCTATTGGCCACCAGAAAGGGACTTTGAGGCCAGTTTCTGTATACGTTTTCTCTGTTAGAGTGCCACAGTGGGTTTTCACCATTCGGATTAGTGCAGCAAGGACAGCAGTTGTTAGATCAGCCAAGGGTGTGGTGATAACATCTGCATCGTTGGCTAACCATCGAAAGGAATTCTTGTGCTTTTTATATATTGCAAAGAGATAAGGCAAATCCATTTTACCAATCGGAATGTCAGGAAACCTCATTGCCATCTGTAGCTTCATGATATCTAGCAGCTCGGCAGCAGAAGACGCGTGTTGCTTAAAATCTGGGCTGGTGAGCCTTCGCAGAGCAAGAAATCTTACCAGGTTGATGCAGAAGACGACTGGGGTGTTAGGGCCTTTGTCAGCCCCAGAAACGTAGCAGTGTTTGGTTAGGAATTCAACTTCACTTTTGATAGCGTGATTGTTCAAGCTCACTATTTTGTGTGTTATTACGTTTTCGAGATTGCCTTTGATTACCTTATCAAAGTCCGCTTTCGCCTGTTCCTCTTGAAACGAGTTTAGTGGTGTACCATTTCTTTGCAGGGAAAGTGTAAGCTGTGTCCAAACTTGGTTCGAGCAGCTATAGCATCATCTTTATTTAGGGGAGCAGGGGGGATATGATTGAGACCTTTCTTCATCATGTTGCGTAGCTCAATATTGTTGCAGATGTTTAGGTCCAGCGTAGTGACGTGCGGTAGTTCTTCTCTGGGCAGCATGCCCTCAGGCAGTGTGTTTAAAAAATCTTTATATCTCGGTTGTTGGCAGCAACATTTTTCTGGGATCTGTTCTATCCATGTTGCAAGCTCAAAATCACGAAACACTGCAGCAGGTTTGTACAGAGCTTTAGCAATGTGATCATTGTAAGTCCATGAGAACGTGAAGTTGTCTAGAACGTGAGCGGCGTCCTGGTTATAGTTAGTTACTAGTTTACTAAGGATGTTTTTGAACTTGATTCGATCCATCAGTCGGTTTGCGTAGTGGCAGGTGATGATCTGTTTGTTCGATTCTTTTTCTGATCGCCATCCCAGTCTTCCGTCTTCCATTGGCTGAAGTCGATGTACCTGCACATTTATCAGACATATCGGTATTTTGAGCAAGGGCCTTAGCAGAGGGAGCCGTGATGTATGACTTGTCTCAACAATATTTAGTTATTCAAGCAAAGGAGGAAAGATAGTTATGGAGGGGCAAATGCATAATTATGTTTTTTTGTTCTATATTTTGCTTATCGTTGCAGAAAGTGGTAAGAGAGGTTGGGTGGGCTTTGGGGGATGATTATAGGTAATTTGAAGTTTCTGAAGATCAGAGAATGAATTACAGAGTCCGGAAGCCTCGGGAGAGACCCCAGTATTGTTGTTTATGTAAGGAAGCAACCTTTAGTAAAAATTCTGTCATTCGGCATTTTCCAGGTACTGTACTTACTTGGCTATTAAGACCAGGGCGGGAGAGAGATCCTTGGTTAGGAAGTAAGCTGCGCCAGATCATGGGTATATTATTATGGCTCTGGGTGGGTAAGGAAGTGAGTACTGTTGGGTGTAGTGGCGGAGGGGTCAAAATTAATTTAAAGTCCCCCAAGAAGGTGAGACCTATTCCAGGTATGTAGGAAGCACGTATTTCGATCAGCAGAATAGCAAATGAAATTATTACAAAGAAATCGAGGTCACAGCCTGCTCTTTTCGGAAATCCAGTAGCCAAAACCGGAAAGCCAGATTATTAACCGAGGTTGGAAACAAATTTAATAAAAAAAGACTAGCAGTCTACAACAACCCTCTGCCTATAGACAAGGTGAAAAGATTAACAAAAAATAAACAAAAAATAAAAACAAAAAATAGACAAAAAATAACAGGCTGCAACAAATCGCTGCCTATAGACACAAAAACTTTTATAACCGTTTATAGGAAGCGAGCCTGTGCGGGTTCCCAAAGTTAAAGCTACCTGGCTTTATTGTGTGCTCATTGATAGAAACTCGACTAAAACAGTATCAAGACAATCGCTCTCGCTAGATTTACACCTAGAAGTCAAGCTTCAGGGTCCATCAGAACAGTCCTTGTTCTGTGACCTGCTGCAACTCTCCTATCAAACTAGCCTCTGGTTATACTAGGAAAATTGTACTGGTAGTCCGGGCTGAGTCTCCGACACACACGTTTCCAGGACCCATCCGACGAATGTGATTCATTCAGGTGTGTCGTGCTTCCGCTGCTCGATCTGAGCAGTGAAGAATCTGCACTGCTGGCTCCATAGTTCGTTCTCATAGTATCGATGGCGGAGATTGGGCGGATCGGCGTGTCCAGCGAAGGAGAGCTGATTGTGATGGGGTGTTGCCTTATCTCTCCGTCATTGTTGTCACATTTGGTTACTTGGATAACCTCATGGTCTGCTGCCTCTTGCTGGACCGAGGAACGTGCTACCGCATTCTTGTCCTTCAGCGTCCACTGTGCTAGGATATCGCTTGCGTGTGGTGTCCATTCTTGGTCAGTTCTTGCGAGAGCCCCATAATCCATCTGTCCTTATGCTGCTGTTGTTACAGTGGGTACCTGGGCAGGAGTCTGCTGGCGCGTTGCAGGCGTAGGTTGTCGTTGTTGTTGCACCATGAGGATGTCATGGAGATCTGGCTGCCTTCCATCATATTGCACCTTCTTTCTCCTAGTCTGCCTTTTACTTAGCACTCCCCCCTGAGCTGTCTGGATCCTTTGCGTTTTGTTACCCCTTCTGCGATTCCTTTTTAGTTCCGCTGGGAGGGGATTCATAGCAATACTAAGAAGCAGTTCTCGCCGACGAGCCTGTCTTTCAATGTCAGTGTCTGTTGCACTGTTGCGGTTGTTCATGTACGCAGTAAGGTGCGGAGGTAGCGACGCAGCGAAACCTGGTTGAGCCTTAGTTTCTTTGTGTGCTGTGTGCGGTGTGGTTGAATTATTCATGAGTAGAGAGTAACTATTTCTTATTGCGTTGGCTTGTGCTGTTGCAGGAGGTGCTGTGGTGGGGATATTTGCGAAGGCAGTGTTGCCAGTAGGGGATGCGTTCGCCTGCCGTGTGGCAAGCTGAGCAGCAGCGTTAGCGAGTGTATTGCCAGATGCTTGAGCCTGCGCATAGTTAAGTGTAATTGGCCTATTCGAGGTTCCTGTGCCAGGAGAAGGAACGTGCCTTTGGGGTGCAGCTGCAGTGCTGCAGTTTGAATTGGAGTAGGAACCGTGGAGGGTTGCGTTTGCAGTGGCGTTTAGGCCAGCAAGAGTTGCGTTGCGGCAATGTAAAATAGCAGATGTGCCGAGCAGTGGTGTCGGGTTACGGGAGTGCAGTTGTGTAAATTGTGCATTGGTTGTAGCAGCGTCGGCTGCAAATTGCGTTTTAGCGGTGTTTGCCTGGCAAGGCAAGCTGGCGGTTGCAAGAGTACAGACAGGTGTGTGGTTGGGAAGTGCTGAGTGCATTGGGGTGCTGCCCGTTGCTCGGATCGGAGTGGTGAGTGACGCAATTGAGGAGGGTGTATTGGCAGATGTGCCATGCGGTGGTGGGAGGTTATGAGAGTGCAGCGGTGTAGTTTGCGCAGCGGTAGCAGGAGCGCTGGTTGCAGTCGGCGTTCTAGTGGTGTTTGCTTGGCAAGGCATGCGGGTGGCTGTGGGTGTGCTAACGGGAGTGCAGCTGGAAGGTCCAGTGTGTAAAGGGGTGCTGCCAGTTGCTTGGATCGGTGTGGTGAGCGGCGCAATCGGTGTGCAGCCGAGCCTCATTTGCCTACACCTTCTGAGTGAGTTGTCTTCAACATCCGTATTGCGCCATGTGTTTGCTGCTTGCGACAGTAAGCCCTCAGCGCCAGGCAGCAACGCGGCTGTGAACTTATTCACGAATGGAACATACCTGAAGTCCTCATAATCTAGTATCTCCGCAGCAGAAATCCTTCTGTTTTCTGTGAGAAGGTTCACAATCTTGATCATGTATTCTCTCATGAAGACAAACGAGATCTGCTCAAGAATGGCCTTTCTCCATGTAGTACGAAGGAGAGCTTGGAATTCCAGCATCTTGATCTTGTCTGATGGAGCTAGCGGGTCGATCTTCTCTAGGTTTCCGATGACGTACCAGATCATGTGGTCGAACCAAGTGAAGTTCTGCTCGCATCCGAGGCATACACATTTCAGATATGGCCTTCCTGCGTTCCAGAGCTTCTTGAGTTCGGAGAGGTCTGCAGGAAACTTCGGGATGCCTTTTTGATGCAGGAGCGGCTTGTTTGGACATTTGCCTTTCTCGAGTTTGGCAATTGGTGGGAACTCTCCGTCAAAACCGCCTCTGGTAGCCGGGAAGTAGATGGTACCATTCCTGGCAGCACTGCGACAGTTATCGACCTCGGCGTCAGTAATTGCCGCAAGCGCCATGTATGCCTCCACGCTGATAGGCGCTGTGTAGTTGAACGTATCTAGCTTCCAAAGCCGGTTGTGCACGTGCTGCACGGCCTTCTCTGTCCAGGTGCTGGAGGCAAGGGGGAGAAAGGGCCTATTCCTGGAAAACTTATGGCCTGCATCCCTCATGAGGGGTGTGAGTTCAGTGTGCGCATTGCTCAATCGTTCTGCCTCCTTCTTCCTGAAGTATTCCAACTCGACTTGCGAGAGCGACTTACGGTCGATATATGCTTCACTGAACGTTTCAGCTCTCTCGGAGAAGGAGACATGTCCCGCGGTGTCAAGATGTGAAGAATCATATCCGTGCAATTCGAGGATGATCTTTTCTGCCTTGGCTATGATGAGGTTAAGCTCTCTATTCTCGATTGCGGCCTTCCTGCAGGATTCAACAATATTGCTGGCGAGATCATGAATTTTTGCTTCTAGCTGCTCCGGCCTGCTCTGCAAGACGTGGACAAGCGAAGCCCAGTCGCTGAAGGAGAGGTTCTCAATCAGGAAGGGAGGCTGTCCAATCGTGGCTTCATATACTTGAAGGGGCATGTCTGCAGGGATCGCGAGCATGGCAATCTGGCAGTGCACAGTGGGCGGCCGTAATGCTGCGAAAGGTCTAATGGCGGCAGCAAGCTCTGGGTGCCATCCCAAGAGGATGCTACCTTCATCCTGCACACGTATTGGTATGTGATGATGGTCAGTTGTATGGTGGTGCATTCTGCCAAAGCACAGATCAATTAGCTCATCCTTTTGGAATCGGCTAGTCGGTAAAAAGAGATCAGGGAAGGAGAAGGGGTGCAGACGAGTGCGCACGTGATATGCATGCTTTGAGAGGCGGGGCCATGTATATCTTTACGCACTTATGTTCTGCCTTAGGTTAGTAGATTGGATGTCATGGTCAAAGGTACAGAAGCGTGGTTCTGAAAAAACAACTGCGTATTGGAGGGGGTTGTGAGTGCGGTGCAACAGGTATGAGTTACCTGTTTGCATTTTTGTTTTTATTTTTTGCAAGGTCTATTTAGATTATATTTGTAACATCAAAGTTGCACAGGTTTGCAAGGGCCTTTTGAAAAAACTGTCGGGTCGTTAAGGAAGAGGATATTAACAACCAACTTGATCTTAACCATGGTAGCAGGAATCTGCGAATTCTCATGCTACCTACTGCAAAAGAGGTTGAGGATCATAGCATTGGTTGGCAAATCCGTTGATCATTTGCTTTGCCCAGTTCTTTTAAGTTTTGTACATTTCCGGGGGCCGTCGTCTGTGATGTGTCTGTGAGTGGTGATGGTGTGCAGGGTAGGTCTTCATGTGTTTGTGTATTATTGGGGTTCTGTTCTGTTAAGCCAGGTAAAAGTATGAACGGCTATATTTTTATAAGGGGACAAAGGATTAAAGTTATCTTTTGGTTTTATGAGACTTTAATTTTCTATTTTTATTACCGGATAGGTGTTTTTCTTTTAGATTAGCATTTTTTCAGAAATGCAGCGACAATCGTTGGAATTTGGGACAATTATTTTTTATTTTTGAATTTTAATTTTTTATTTAATATTTAATATTTTTTATTTTTTATTTTTTATTTTTTAATTTTTAATATTTATATTTTATTTATTTATTATTTTTCTATTTTTTATTTTTTATTTTTATTTTTTATTTTTTTTATTTTTTACTTATATATATTTTTATTTTTTATTATATGTATTAATTATTTTTTATTTTCCATTATTTTTATTTTTTATATATATTTTCTTAAATTTTATTATAATTTTATTTTACAATATATATTTATTATTATCACATTTCGTTTTCAACCCATTTTTAATCTATTTATTTTAAACTCTACATTATTAATTATATATTTATAAATTTTAATTTAATATTTCTTGTTTTTAATTTTTTTTTTTTAATTCTTAGTTGTTTTAAATTATACTTCGTATTAATGTTCGATTTTTGTTCAAGTTGTTTTATTCTTAATTTCTTCTTATTATTTTGGAAAATCCGGGTGGGGGCCATCGTCTGTACGAGTTTTATGTGTATTTTTGTTTTTATGTTGGGATATTTTTGTTCTATGGATAGAGTTTGTTGCCCGTCAAGGTGGGGCTTGCTTCTGTGTTTATCAAAACTATAGCGCCGGAAGAGGATCGGCCTCTGTCTACATAAGATCGTCGAGGCTTGCTATATAAGAGGGAGATGTTCGGTAGTGATGCGGGTTTTACAGGTGTTCGTGCACCTATCAGCGCAGGGTAGTGCTATTGTATGACGTCGGTGTATGCTTGCTGGGTAGGCTATCGTCAGAGGCGGAACGAAGATTGTGCGGACGTGCGGGGTTTGTTTAGAGCGGTGTGCGCTTCGCTAGGGGAACAGGGAGCAAGATTGTGTTTCTTCTTGGCAATCTTGCAGACGTAAGCAGAGGACAAGGAACGCGCATAATGGACTACCAGGTAGCATATCATGGCGTCGTGGATGGCGATACCATCCTGATTCTGGAGCGAGTGCACCTGCGTGATGCTGCGGTTGGTATGGAGCCATGGGGATCATCACCGGAAGGTCGGAGCATGACGAGGACATATGATATAAATTTGAATGGTCGTATGGTTCTTCGTGTGGGGTTTGGTTTTTCCTACCTTCGGGGATCTTTAGTTGCTCTTCGTTTCTGTATGCGTCGATTTGGTGAAGTGATTCTCGTAGGGGAGCCAGCGGAAGGCAAGGATATACTGTTGTGCATCCTAAAGGCATTGGTGACTGCGCTCGCGACTGAACATCAAGGTTTTATAGTTCCAACGGCTGGTTGGGATGTGGCAATAGAAGATCCCTTATCGCGCCAGGACTTGTGGGGAGAGATCAAGGAGTACGAGGGTTACCAGTAGGCACTTCAGTAGGGTAGCATGCATCGCTTTGTGATCTGTGGTTTCGTGAATCCTGTGTTCTTACCGGAATTAAGGGAGCGATCTCTTCGTCAATCAGAATTCGTGTATCTGGACGTTTGAGAGCTGAACTAGCCTAATAATCGCAAGCATACGTTTCCTCATAACGATGATTAAACCTACAAGGTGTTGCGTATGAATACTTTTGTAGGCAAATTGAGGCATAACATGTGCGATAAGTGTAACGTATAAGGGAGCTTTTTAGAGAAATTTTTCGAAGAAGGGATGGTTATCTAGACCAAACTCTTCGCTTGGGTGTGGGGTATGTACGTAAGGTTGTTCGTTTGCGTTGCGGGTGGTAATTCCATGCTTCTTGTCATTTTTAAGAGGTAATAGTGCACTGGATCGTCCGGTCCTATCAACAGTTCGGTAGGTGTGTGCAGAAGACGAAAGGAGTTGTATCAAGATCGACCTTTATTTGGACATGCTATGAGGACTTGGTTCTTTTCTAAGGCGGATAGTGGAGTATAGCTTTTACAGGCGGGGTTAAGTCGAAAACATACTGACGAATTTTGTCAATCTTGTTTTGCGCAACCACACCCTCCATGTTTGTATGAGGGGAATCACGACTTATGGTATATGTGTGTACAATGTCCTTATGCATTGCGAAATTGCTTAAGATGTGTAGAAAAATTTGTGCATTCTATCATTGTGAATCTTCGGTGTGTCCTGGAGGCTATATTTTACTCAAGGCGTGATATGTTTATCCTTACATACGAAGGCGTATGCTATTTATTGCGCTAAAATATCAAAGAGGCGGAGCATGTATTAGCACCTTCAGCTTCCGTCTAATTTCTAAATATCTTTTTATTATTTTCCATTATTTTTTATCTTATTTTTCTTATTATTTTTTTTTAATTCTTTTTTTTTTTTTTAATGTCAGCATAATGATGCGTACAGTGAATCTTGTGCATTTGATACCGAGCCTGTTTATTATTGTAGGAGCATCGGGGAAGTTTTAATTTTCTTGAGTATTTGCTTCCGTGGCATGTTTACGAGAATGCGTAAGGGGCAACGTCGCTTTTCCATTCTATATTTGTGCTAAATATTTTTGTGTTTAGTAGGTAATGTGGGAGAGGAGAAGGTACCCAACTGACCTGAACCGCTTTTTATCATTGCACACAAAAAAAATACTTAAATACTACGTTTTAATATCTGAAAAATCAATATACGAATTCGACAAATCTTTACCAAACGTGTAAGGGGACCGACGTTATTACTTCTTCCAGACTGCGTATAATTAATGACGTAAATATAGAAAAGCAAAGCCGATCTCCTATCCTAACAAAAACTTTCACTGAGCGCCTATTGCGTCTAACAGGAATTAAGCAGATACATATGACAAACCAACATCTTCGCCTGTTTTAGCTGAGAAAAAAACGTGATAAACCACTATTGTCCGGTTTATAGGCAAGAATGAGAGAACTTACACGTACTGCGGTACATAGTTCCTTCGAAATCATGAGACAGCAAAAAAAATCACGAGGGATTGTCCATACATTCTTATGATTATGTTTAAAAAAATCCTACTCCCGATGAGTATAGGCAGGCCAACCAACGAGCAAACTCTACTTGCACATTTCTTACTGTAATGTGTGAAATCGGTTTTTTCAAAACAGAAGAAAAATTCAAAACGTATTCCTACTATACAAGCGGAACATAGCATTGACACTGCACACCATATCAAGAGAGAACACATAAAGGACATCGCAGAGTATTCATGCAAACTATCGAAAAGAATGATAAGGCAACCAATTATATGGCATGGTATTATCCCTAGAGAAACATTTGCCTAAGTGTATGGTGTGCATAGGAGCTTTTAGTTAGTATGTTTGGAATTATTTCGTATCAAAATGACAGTCGTATGCATGCGTGTCAAGGAATGCGAATACTGGGTACGTGTCCGTTGATGATCGTTTTAGCCAATTAAGCCGAAAATTAAAGAGGTACACATATCAGACATTTGTAGTCAATGATTAAAGATAGCACAATTATACGAGGTTAACAATCCGACGGAGAAAGCCTCATACCTGCCTGTGTAACGGCGATGGGAGAGAAATTCTTTCAGTTTCGACGAAACAGTCATTTTGATGTGAGGTATGTTACATCAGCAAGGCTATATTCCTATATATTATGGTACTAACGTTAGCTCACCACTTGACATGCAACCTAAAGAACCAACTATATACGAGCTTTCAGAATATTCAGAACTTCTTCGTAGAGAGAGGATAAATAATTAACATAGTATACGAGATTTATAATTACGCCTTCATGGCGGACCCAGATCGTAAAAGAATGGTATCTTCCAGGTTATGTGAGTACTGGATTTTAAGATCACGGAAACGTAATCATCCATAGATGCCAACGTCAGATACTTTCAATCTATGGCCATTGCTAAAAAAATAACGTAAAAAACGTAATATGAAAAAAACGTAATGTGAAAAAACGTAATGTGAAAAAACGTAATGTGAAAAAACGCAGAGAAGTTCAGACCTAAGTCTGTAGGTGTATTCTTAAAAGCGATGGATGTAGAGGGCGCATCAATAGAAATCGAGGGTTAAGGTGTCTATTGTATTGCTAACAACCGGCCTATTAAACACGGATTTTCAAAGTAATACCCGTCAACCATTTCATTGTAATACTTGTTAGGCTGTTACGCGTTGCTTCAGTATCCTTTACGCACGTAAGCGAAGGTTGGTATCTAAAAGGGGTTTGGGGGTGGAGAGGAGAGCAGATGAGTGTTGGATTTAGCGGGAGTATGACCAGGTGGTGCCAAGCAATTGTGAGGGATGAAATAAGGGTAGTTCTATGTTTCTCAGAGGTAGGTACGAACGTTCTCGACACTTTTCGTTGGCTGGCTTTGAAAGATCGCCCCATACTTCGATTTAGCTAGCGTTATGATATGTCAAAAAATCAAGGGCCTCGGTAATGTAGATAGCTCGTCGGTAGCTAGTCCACACGTTACATAACTCTGCAATAGGGGAGCTGGGCATTGAGATGGTAAACATGCGTACTCTCATAGCGACTTGTTAGCTAGAGCTAGGTGTCGTGTCATGTGTTACTAGTATAGGCTAGAGCTAGCATGCGTACTCTCATAGCGTGCGTAGAGTATTTTCGTGGTAGTGCAATATAGAGTTAGCATGCGTACTCTCATAGCGACTTGTTAGCTAGAGCTAGCATGTGTACTCTCATAGCGTGCGTAGAGTATTTTCGTGGTAGTGCAATATAGAGTAGATGACGCGCAAGTAGTAGGGGTTGGGGGTGAGGGGATGGTGGGGCGGGATGGTGACGGCCAAGAATGTTTTGCATGTGTGGTGGTGGGGTTGTGGTAGTATTAGGTTGGGGAACCAGTTAACCGGTGATGTAAGAGTGGGCCTGCAGGCATAGCCTAAAGAGGTGGGGATTCGACCCCAGCCATGGCATCAGGATCAACGATCCGGGGGAGTGTGTGGGGGGGTTTGTGTAAAGAACACAGCCATCCCAAAAGATTGGGACAATAGGTAGCCATCATGCCCATGATATTAGTCTGATACATGGTTCTCTCAACAAGGGGAAGTTTTTTAAGAGAGATGGGGGGAGCATTATAGATTAGTATTAGCAGGTTAGCAGTGGTTAGGAGAGGGTCGAAGGACCCAACCATAGGGGGGGTGCACGCCCTTAAGCGCGCTTTTCGCCGCCTAGCACCCATAGCAGCTCATGAGAGGGGTTAGCTTAGTAACTTCTCCAGTTAGATTGGGGACGGGGGAAGGAAGAGGAGGGGGATGGTGGGGACCGAGTTAGCCAGTCTTACCTGCGTCGTCATTGCCGGTGTCGCCGGGTTGTCAGCAGCCGCAGTGGCAGGAATTGCAGCCTTCGCAGCGAAGTATGAGTAGCTCACGGTGTACGTACACCGTGTGATGCACTGTAATGTATCCGGCCGAGCCCAGGTACCCTCTATCTTCTCGACCGATCAGTTATGTTTCGGCAAGAGATACCGGGGGGACTGGTGTTACGTGGTGAAGGGAGATGAAGTGTGTGCGCTGTTATTGTAGTGAAGCCGCGCGAGCATTCATGCAATTGCATATGTAGCCGTGTTCCACAGCACATGCTGCAACATGAAGGGGGATCTGGTTGTGCGGGCAGTGTTTGTATAGGGGATCGAGCCATGGTATGGGCTATGCATATCCTGGCTATGATGGGGGTGTGCGAGCAATGGTTCCAATTCCGTATGCAGAAGGGTGCGAAGCAGGGGAAGGAGTGTTTTTCGGAAGGATGTCTGCGGCAGTAATAAGGGGAAACATGCATTTTCAGAGGCATAGCTGTAGCAGTAGCCATGTAGGTGCAATATGGTAAGTGGGTCTGTAGCTGCGTTTACTATTCTTCAGTAGTGTGCGCTGTAGGGGGTGACTTGCAGAAAGCGGGCTCTGGTCCTTGCCTCGTGGCGCGCGAACATTAGTATAGGACAGGG